AATCTGCTTTACAGTTGATAAACCTTTCTAACAGCTATTTAGAAATCTTTTAATAGTCAATTAAGCTACATACGATGCATTGTTTGACGCTGTGATGTAAATACGGATACAAAGTAGGCCTAATTAGGCATTTTTACTGCTTATAACACAATAATCATTGCATGTATGCCAAAATTCTATCAGCAAATTGCGAAGATATTTTAAGAACTATATAATTATTATTATTCCCGACTTACATGTATGATGAGTGAACACTAGTTGACGAACCAGTGGAACTCGTGAAGTTTGACGTCAGATTATAGACGTCTGTGACTGACGACGACGTCATGAAAGTTGACGTCAGATTGACTACTGTAGTGTTTATAGCTGCCACGTGACATTGGTCTGTTACCAACGAAAGCACTGGCATAGGAGGGCGATGAATTATGGCACCAATTCCTAACCAGAAACTAAATAATAAGCTACACACTAAACCTACGCCGGCTCCCTGAAAAAGAAACCCAAATAGTTTAAGAATGCATTTTGAGAAAGTTCAACTTTTTGAATGGTAGACCTAACCATACCTTAAGAATCTACGAGTAGACAAGGCCCATATGCTGTAAAAGGAAGCTGTAAATGCCACCAGAGCCCAATGAAATATTCTTACCGCCCCGCCAGTTCCCAACCTGGGGTATCATCAAACATAACAGAAGTTACCCTAACAAGGGTAGGCCACATTTTAAAAAAAATTAGTGTTTCAGACACGTCCTGTCGACTATACTATGCCAATAACTCTGTATTTCCATGTCCATTGTAAAGCTTTCTTTTAAATGTCACCCCGAGTGTGGTCGGTAAAGGGGTACCAGGTGATAATGTGAACAACTACCCTTAGTCATTGGCATGGATGATAATCCCCACCCTCCCCCTTGAAAAAGTCTACTCCGGGGCGAAAAATATGCCTTACCCAGGAATTAATAGACGGGAAGAACATGGCGAGAAGGAATAACATCAACAATGGTCCACCAGTCATTCCAAACGATCGTAAAGCAATATTCAATATCGTTCTTCCCATAAAACTCGATAAAAACGCCAGTCCTACTGTCAAGCAACCAAAAAATATTGCTGAAAAAGAAATAACATTTTGAGTTCCACACAAGTATAAAATGAGTTTATTTGGACAAGCATAAGGAAAACGGAAGCTGCGTTGAAAAAAACGACCAAAGTCGAAGAAAATCATCAAGTGATGCGAATGTCTCGCTTGTCTCATCAATGGTATCTGTTACAAACAGATTCGTCTGAATCATGAATGCTTATTAAGTTCTCAACAGTACTGCCACAAACATCATTCTGTCCACAGAAGAACCCTAATCAGGGAGCATAGTTTTTCAATCTGCTCGTGGTACGATATAGCTCAACAATCTGCATTGTTCCTGACGCTCGAGCGCGAGGTTTCTTGCCTCCATCATGACTTACCCAAACATTTCGAGATCACGGTTGCTGCTCGATCTGAAATCTGCTTTCCCCTGGACAGTTTATAAACCGGTTTCACTACATCCTCTAGGTAGACTAACGACAGAGCGTTCACACCAGATGACACAGTGCTGAAATAGAGCCAAAATTAGCTGATGAAGCCGACCAGCTTCAAGCAAAGAGAGTGTAATTTCTCCTAGTGGTACGGTTTTTGGCATTGTCCATTTCAACCATAGAAAAACTGTACAGAAAGGCGAGTTATAAGATGCCTTACCTTAAGGCAGCACTAAAAACACAGGCAACGAATAACCCGGCCATTCCAGGAATCACTCCAAGAGTTTCTGTAACCATCAATGGAACTAGCTATGGAAAAAAGAATAAAAGAAAATTTGATCTTCCTGCTTGTCTCCACATCCCTTTTAGTGAACAGACTTCATGGATCTCTGGTTTCGAATGAGGGAGATTGATGCTCTTGTGGTACGACCCAACAGCATAAACTAGGGTGCTTGAGAAGCCTTTAAGATCGATTCCAAAATGAGGTGTTATATAATCATCAACGAGCGATTCAAATATATTATTACATATCGGTTATAGATTCTCACATTGTCTCCAATGAGTGTTTCCGTGACTAGTATTCTGTGGCTCTGCCGACTTACCTGATCTAGTTGTGTTATACGCCCACTTTTAAAAGGATCACAATCTTTATATTTGGCGTAAGCTACCAGTCCCAGTAGAGACAGGAGAGATGTCGTTATCACATTCCCTGGTAGATTGAAATATATCGTCCTGAAAAAAAATACAAATACTGGAATACATATAATTGGATAAACCTTTAAATTTATCAAGCAACTCCAGATGGCACTTCGTTATTAGGTTTGTCACCTTCCTTTCAGGAAGCTATATAATCATTCATGACCACGTATAAACGTAGAAACCTTCACGAACTCAATTATCTAGTCTGAACCTCTCAACGCACGCCTGTTTGCCAGGAGTATGGCTTACTTCAATTTATATATTTAGATTGAACTTCTCGAAACCATCTTAAAATTTCGGAATAAAGACGACTCACCCTTGAGCAGTTTTAAGATTTTTAACACAGAGATATCTCTGTACCATGGCTTGATTGACAGCATACACACTGAGGGTAGTGATAGACCCCCCAATTATTAAACTCCATACGGTATGGCGTACCCGGGGGTCGGGATCAAAACTGAAAAAATTGAAAAACTAATCAAATACGATACAATGAACACCGAGGAAATCTGGGTAACAACATTCTGGAGGGATTCTACCACTTGAGATACTGATAATTTTTGAGCCTCTGCATGGGTGTTCAGCAATATTAGCAGAGCTGTGCATATTGGAAAAGTATTGAGGAGAAATGGCGAAAGTACATCAATACAACAGTCCTCTGCAAACTGTCCTTATACCAAAGTAATGATGCTGCCACCCTTGTCAGGGTAAAAAAATCTAAGAGATAAGAAAACAAATTACTTAAAGACATCAAGTCTTCCTCCTTCTTTAGCTCTAGCCCAGACTGTTCCCAGCCCTCCGACATCCAGGGTACCCTTAATTACCAGAGCTGAGAGTCCAGAGAGTACCACCAGTAACTGAAAGACGTCTGTCCATACCACAGCCTTTAATCCTCCCTAGAAGAAAGAAGTGAGAAATATTTAAAGACAATACAGATCGGATTTGCTTCCAGCTCATCGTGGTAAGAAAACTTGAGACAAGACAAGCTCAATCGCAAGTGTTTCAGAAAAGCACCGTCCTACTCTTGTATTATGACAAACGGTAGAAAACTTTGAACGAATACATATCGGGTTCATTTTCATCTCGAGTCTGCAAATACAACGACAGAACTGCAACATGTGTTTGGTAAATGGAAAGCATGATTGTGGTTCCACTTATTGTTTATACCACTAGGATGAAAACCAATGTATAGCATTAATGCGGAGATTTTGTTCTAAAGCTAAGTACGGATAAGGTTGCACTTACGACGGATGTATAAACTGTACATGCTGCACCTACTGCTAAAACTGAAATCCATAGAGACAAACCACTCACTGAAATATACGATACCATAATATGATAACGGAACGACGAAAACAAAACACGGATAAATGACGTACTGATGACGTTCGTGTACAGATGACGCCAACCAAAGTTTGATGACGTGACGTAGACATGAAATGACAAATAACGTGACGTCAGATGACCTAAATTTATACGAACAGATGACGTAAATATCTGAGATACAGTTCTATGGTTTACCTTAACAGATATAACAATGTATCTGGTTTGTTATATTCAATGAATGCAAGCAGTGTTTTGTCTATTGTTTTGATACATTGTTTACCTAGATTTAGAAAAGGGGGTCACACAATGCCAGGAGTTATTCGGTGGAATCTAAACAAATTTCTCAGTTACAAATATCGTCATTCTAGAACTGTCTGTTTTAACGGTAATAATAAACTTCCCGACATCTCAACATAATCGCCATTACCAGAAGAAAATAAACATGTTACTGTATCAGCCCTGAGTGAAATGTCAGAGAGATTTATTTAATTAACCCAATTTAAAGTGTTTGTATCACTCCGCCGCACGTGTAAATTGACCGACGAGTTATCAGACGTTAGTCTCTGACATCAAGACTTCTCCTGTCTTTGACTAGGACAAAGTGGGACTGGATGATAGTCAATTAGACGTCTGCCTCACTTCTCGGTCATAAAGAAAACTACAATAAAACATTGTGGAGCTGTTTTTATTTGAACACTATTCTTGGCCAATGATTACCCTCGATTTTAAAATCACATTAGATTCTTTGACCAATTGAACTCTTGTAAGATATAGTGAGTTTTTCCAGAAAATATAAATGCCACATATAAGACACGTATGTCATTTAGATGCTCTGTCAACATGTTTGTTTTGGGAGACAATGACAACTCTGAAATGAAGGGCGGTGATGCGTCACTGAGGTAGGTCCGTCAACGTATCTCACTACATTCTAAACATGAAAAAAGATCAGCTTTTCTGGAGATCGTGAAATTCTGAGTAACAACAAACTTCAGGTATTGTTTTAATATTTGTAAGTTGTGAAATAAGACAGAAGTTAGATATTATGAGAAATGTATCTGTATTGTAATGCAGCCAGAAGGTTTGGGGGCAATGAAACCAATATCGAAGTGATAATGGTTAATTGTTGATTTTAGTAGTTGTAATATTTTACTCAAGGCAAGGCCAATAAACTTAATATACTGAATTCATGATACTTCTGGTTTTATTTAAAATTTTGTTAACTTATTTTCTTGCCTTTTCTCTCGGGGAAAAGTACCTTTATAGTAGTTGCGGATGTCGTGCGCGAAGCAGACCATGCTTTTCAAAACACCTGATGGTACTTCTCTTTGGAGGGGTCCACTACTATACTACTATTACTCTTGATTTTACCATACTTTGGACGAGATTTTCATTGTCGGAATTGTTTGCTTGTACGGATTTTTATAAGCACCAATTAGACAGTGTCTCATTCTATTGACTTACCATGACTAAACGCCAATGCTGGAGCATAAAACACAACCGCCATGTAAAATATCTGAAAAATAAAACGTAAATTCAAGATATCACAGGATATGGAATTTAAATTCCTGAGGATTATATAATTTATGAGAGGCAGGGACCAGATTTCAAGTTGCATGACTGGCCTATTTAATCCTCAAGATGTTTTTAAACAGGGACCAAAGCAGCATTCTCGTCCCCAATAGAATCCTCAAAAATATGGAAGATTTGTCTTACCATTTGAACTGTAAAAACGAAACATCCCATGAGTCTAATCTTTCTGTTAAATCTCATCTCTAAATACTGAAAATATACAAGATAAAAACTATAGATGTTGAGTTTTGCGTCCACATTTCAGACCAGCAATGAACCACCCTCTACAATTTTACATTTTTGAATTATTTGTTTATCTTGTAAATCTCTCCAGAAGTAGGTAATTTCTTATCAAATTGGTGTATTCCAAGGCTGAAATCCACATTTCCACATGAATGAGAGATGGAAACGGTGTTCAATCATTTGCGCAACTTTAAGTTTGGGATCAAACGGATTTCTGATCCCGATTGGGCTATTGTAGTGGGGATATACAGTGGCATGACAACAAGTGGATTTAAACAGTACCGCCAAAGAAATTAAATAAACTTAATATGGGGTTGTGTTACTTTAAATTCTTTAACCGCAATCTAAATATTGACAGAAAGTATTCTCTTTAAAACTGAAAATTTACATATTAAAATATATCATAGTAGAGACTGTCAAATATAAACACGATTTGCACCTTTTATTAGGGTATTGACATTCAAGCCCGGGTTACACGATACATGGTCTGATATAGGTGTATTTATATCTAATATCACTATTTATACATTGAAGGACCTTTCATTAGACATTATAAATGAAAGGAGTGCTACGTCCTACATTTCTGCACCTTCTTAAGAAGACGGGCAGCGACATGCACTGTACAATGAGGGAAATTTTGCCAGGACAGCGGCATAAGTTTACTATGTTTCTTTGTCCAACTGTCGAAGGATAAGTAGCACACGGGGTCTCGGTTTATTAGACATTCAAGTTAAGACTACACGATATAAGATCTGAATATCGAACTCGAAAAGGGGGTGCGTCGAAATCCCTCGAACTTTTGCTGCATTTATACAATTGCAGGTGTCCTAAGCGAGAAGGGTCCTTCTTTAGCTTTGGTTTGCACTATATTTGCACTAAGGTTCGTTTATGGTCAATTCATGGAACATCCCCCCTTGATGTTTTCTCTTCAGAGTATTCCTGTGTCCGACCTCGTCTGTGTGTGTTGTAACACAGACTTAACTGTACTTAGAAAGTTAGCCTTGAATATTTAACAGTAAATAGACGAGTTATGTACCCTTTTATCTTGGCTTAATTTAACAAAATATCAAACAAGTTCTGGTTTAAAAACACGAGGTTATATTTACAGTGTAAAATACCTAATGACAATAGACTAATATTTTAACAGGGCAGAGAACCCGCAAGTCGGTCGAAAACGGTCATTATAATTAGATGGTTTTAAAGCAGTTTTCTATTCTCTTTTATGTGTATCAGGGACACTGATGTAACATTGATTTGCACCATTTCAATTAACAGACTGAAACTAGCTGTTTGATGACGTCACCATCACAATGTCCTTAGTATGATATTAGCAGCTTTTGCAATAGTGACGTCATATGCGGTTTATCATTGCTATGATCTCTGGAACTGCATAACAGTTGCCCGAAAATTGTAATGATGCAAAAAGTACCATTCCAATTTTCAGTCAAATATCGCAATGGGTCTTGCAATTGCAGTCAGGGACGTTGAATACGATGTATAAAGCATGTCTCGGTCTTTATTGCTCTACAAGCATGTGGGCTCAAGTATTTTTTTTTCGAAGATTTCAGCTTCTTGATTTTGATTATAACGTCGTTAGTTGTAGAGGCAGGGCACGCAGAGTACGCTCGCTTACCCTGAACCCTGAACACGTTCTGAAGCCAGGATATTTTTTTCTCTGCAGCTCTTTGAAAGGAATTCATATCACTGAATTGTGTCTGTTTGTGAATGTTGCTTCTATAGTGTTCAAGGCCCCCAGCTGACTGATAATATTCATTTAGTACAAAACCTTAGAAATATTGTTTACACATAATACATTGTTTACATAATTCATTTTGTTTATATAATCTTTTTGTTAATTTGTTTACAGAATGAAAGATCTTTGTTGACAAATCGAAATATCTAATTTGTTAATCGCAGATCATAAAATTCCCTACAACCTAGAGACGAGTTTAATCGTTATATAATAGAGACGTTTGGCAATATGTAAAACGTGAATAATAAACATAAAGAAATTGAAGCGTTATGTCTTCTTTCTCTGTATCTTATTTTAGCTGATGAAGATCGACAGTTTGAAGTGTGGGGTGAGGGAAAATGTTCACAGGGTAGAACCATGACTCATGCAACATCATATTTCAATAGGCCTATCATATCAATTTTTGGCAAATCCTGGTTTCTTCAAGCTGTGCACATTATAAATCCATCGATTGTCTTTGCAAAATTTCCCTCATTGCACACTGCATAGTGTTCATTGTCTTCACCAGCCGATTTTGGTGTCGAAATGATTAAAAAGCAGATTTGTAGAACATAATATATTTTGTTTAATTTTCATTTTACGTCATCTCATCAATTTTCATGTATGTTCACGCTAAACGCACCGCCAAACTACCCTTACATCATTTTTCTATTAACCGACTTCCAGCTTTTTCATTGTCCTGCAAATTTCAGATTTTTATTGAAAATAATAATTATTATTATTTATCCAATTATAATCAACAATAGAAATTAATTAAGAGATAATTCATTCTCATTTCGAGTGTGTTTGTTGTTTTTATAATTGAATGAATGAAGTGAGAAAATCTGAAAATGTTTGTGATAAAAAAAATGATTGATTATTGATCAAAATCGAAGTGTAAACTGGAACGTTTTGATTTTATCTGTTTTAACATATATTTTATTTGTTTAGATTATTTGGTTGGTTTGTTTTTATTGAAATTTGATATTGAATTAAGTCATAGTGCCCCTATAATCCGATTAAATGCAGTTATTGATATTTCGAATCGCATTATGCGAGTGTAAATTGTAATCCACCGCAAAATCAAAAAAGCAGATCGGCCGGTCAGGTAACTTATTCTATACCAACATAGGTCGAGTTACGTTTTCGAATTTTAAATCCTTGTTTCCCTCTGTCGGTGATATTGATTGCAGGGACTGACACTGAAAAGCGACTGCAAGCTGTACGTCCGAGGGTAGGAGGGGGGGGGGGGGCGCCCCTTTGGTTCCGACTCTGGGTATAATAATCGAATACACCTACAGGAACCAATAACGTAAAACTCCAGCTATTTAATTTGATTACTATGATAGTATTTGTTACGAGTGCAGAACATGGGATAGTTAATGCACAATGGTAAATAATCGATGTTTTCAGGTGAGTTCGGTCGTAATTTCAACCCCTTTCATGTTTTTACAGATTAACAATAAATCGTCTATTGATCGTTTACATTCATGTCAGTGGGACATCCATACAGCCGGAAACTTACAGATCTAGGTAATAATCTAACAGTATGGGACTACCTTGACCCAAGAGGATTTATTGTGATTTAAGGATGATGTGCGCCATACTTTATTCTGGTTCTTTTTCTTTGTTGACATTCTAGTTTTAAGAGCTAATAACAATAATTTTTGAAGTAGGCCTACGGATATTCAAATTTATAAGCAACTTGACCCAAAGCTTTAGATCTTTTTTTTTTTGAAGCACAATGACCTACTTTTTTTTGTCCCTTCCTACTAGACCATTCTTGTTCTAGTCCGAAAAACTCCTCCCTTTCAACCCACAGACTCTGACAGATTAACTTGATGGCGACTCGCCTTTGAGAAGATCAGAGAGAAATGTACAATCGTCGTGTAGAATCCAGGTGTAGAGCCTCTCATGTCTTTTGTTTTTGCACCTCAAAGGACTAACAGTCTCCTGTCGCGGCCAAAGAAAAGGGTTAAAGTTTCTCGGATTACTGATGGTGTTCTGATTTTAACGACACACGGACCCCATCTTATTGTAGTGTACAAGTAGAACAAGGGTTGCTTCGAGAAATCAGACCTACTCAGATTTTGTAGGTCCTACATCTTATACAATATTTATAGACATACAGTCCAAGGGGAGTTTAATTGTTAAACATTTGAATGGAAATCTGTCCTTAATATGAGCAAAATGGTCTAAACGCATTGAGTTTTGGTGCAGTAAAATTATAAAGTTATTGGGAATTACAAAGGTCGTCTTGACTAGTAGATCTCGAGATCAGCTGTCCTTCATTTTTAGAATGGAAATCTGACGTCTAGTTCGTCTACAATAAGTATTCAGAACGGTACACGTAGAAGCCTTCAGTGTCTCAAATACGCATACAAAGGCCAGAAAATCTCTTATGTATCACTTTAAAGGGATTGTAAAGAGTTTTTGTAAACTGTTTATACATGACAGGGACAATGATAGCATCAATGTGCATCATTCCAATTTTCAATCGGACGTCTGTGGTTCCTGCAATTTCACTAAAACTAAGTGTTTTATGATACGACTTTAGTCAAAGGCCCTTAGATCCTGCAGTTTGAATGATGCAACTCGATGCTTTCAGTGTCTCCATCCTTCATTGTGGTTTCTTTTCATACATCTTCTTAAAGATACAAAATAGGTTTCATACAAAACCAATTCTGTATCATTGAGAAGATGTTTGAAAAGAAACCACAATGAAGGATGGATCCTAGTTTTTGTATTAAAATTTCTCAATATTTAGATGTTATATTTTGTAAGCACTTGACACGAGGAGTGACCTTTTGATATGAGTTGAAATAAAATATAGGAAGAGTATTTCAATTATAATATATCTTCACAACTTGTGTATTGGGCATCTTAAGACGCCTTCACATCATAGGCGATTACGAGTTGTGTTTAAAACTTTTCTTATTCGCAACCATAAGCAACTTGTGATTGCCATCGTAAGAATTCCCCTTGTACTCGTATTAACCACTCGATATATTCATTTCTAAGAATCGCCAAGCTAATTGGCTTTCTGGTATTGCTCATATGTTATGGTTATAGGTCTTAATGCTAGGCTCCGAATATTTATCGCCATATTACTGTTCGAAATTCAGCTTTTGATATTTGGTTTCGGGTTTTTTCAAAGGGATTGGCTAACCTTCCTTATTCTAAGGTCGTTGCAGTACTCTATCGGCAAACTCGACTAAATAATCATCTTGATCTACTTTCTAGATAGAATTAAATCACGTTTTAATTCAATATTTTCTTTAAGTTGTTTATGGAGAGGAAACTGTAAAGAGGTGCAATTGAAACTGAAGGTCATGGCCAAGGTCACCTATTTTCCTATTCTCGGTTGTCAACCTGCAAATTGCATCTGATTTATATCGTATGATCTTCAATTTCTCATAAGACTTTGATAGTAATGTCAATAAGGTTTTAAAATACTGAATTGACAAGGAAATTAGGGTCAGGGGGTCAGGTAAAAAGGGGTTGTATTTACTATGTAATTTGTTATTCAACGAGTAAAAAAGGGATTTATAAAATAGGTTATCTTTTGATTGTGCAATACGTTTGATAGAAGATAGAAAATATAATTTCGGTTTTGATGTTTCATTTCAGCCTGCCAAGTGTTAAGATATTTGTAGTATTTTCAAGATGGCTGCCTTAATTTTCAAAATGGTGGCTCTAATTTCAAAATGACTAACCTTATTTCAACATGACTAACCTTGTTTCAAAATGGCTCACACAGTTTCAAAATGGCTGACCTAATTTCAAAATAGCTAGCACAGTTTTAAGATGGTTTCCAACATTTCAAAATGGTTGACTTCATTTCAAAATGGCAGTCATATTTTCAAGATGACCGTAATATTTTCAAAATGGCCGTCATTTTTTCAAAATAAAGTTACTTCACTCACCTCATAAGCGCTGGATATCTTGAGTTTGAAGAACAACGGGATGAAGACATGAGCAGTGATGGGAACCGAGATGAAATATGAAAGTGCGTTCACCCAGAATGAAGCACCAAAAGTGTAAATCTCCACTGGGGCACCAAGAACAGAAATGGCGGAGAGGAAACTTGCCATCACTGAAAATGCGACGGGTAAAAAGGACATGTTCCTTCCGCCCATTAAATATTCGTCCGTAGATTGTTTCTTTTTGCGGAATCCATGATACAGTCCAATGAATATAGAAACGGCCAACATGGCACCAAGCACCACAAAGTCTGGCCAGTCAAATCGGTCACTATTCGCCATTTTTTAAGTTTCTAAATATACGAAATCTCACAATTTCGTTAACCACTTTGCATGGGTATGTATCCAATAATTATTTCATATCAATATCCATTATTTTATCTGAACTCCCTTTTTATCGCATCCATATTTTCCAAGTTGTCCTGTTCTCCAAATTTTCAATTTATGTTCCTTTAAACTTTTTTTTCGGAAAATTATCACAATTCTTTCATCAAGATCTTTAAAGAGATGAATTCCACAAATATTCCTAAATTCTCGACAATTCACTTTTTATGTCTATTCCTTGACAAATATCTAAAATTAATCAAACTGTTTATAAAAATGTTCTGCACCATATGAACAATATTCTTGTATTCAAGTCACTATGCTAATAATCTCTTTATCTTACGTTTATTCCTGCCTGATTCAGGTAACTAAAAAAAGTCCTTATGTTAGCATCTACAGATATTTCCTATTCTGAACACTTCCCTATTCTGAACACTTCCCTGAACTCTCCTCTCCTAATATTTAATTAAATTCACGGATTTCAAATTAGGGTAACTTCGTAATTTTTAAACTTGCGAAATCATCGTCATAATGACTAAAAGTTTTTCACTACAACTTACAATCCTATAACACGTTTTTAAATTATCGAAAAATCAGCGAATTGGTGAAAGGAAAAGACAGCCAATCAGGGATTTGATATACGTCAATTATTATGAATTACCGTATTGTATTCATTCTTATAACACTGATAGGCCTGTATAGTAATACAAATCCTGAATGACTCCGCAGTTACACTTCAATCTTTCAAACTTCAATATTGTTATAGTAAACTGTTATTGATACAAGTATAAAATATTTTCACTGTTAAAATAGTGCTCAATACAATTCCTTGTCAACGCTACAATTATTTTTACACCTGACGATTTTTCAATGACCACACACTAAGGAATATTTCTGACTTTGAAGGAGTGTTTAACTTCTTTTTAAAAACTTCAAAAATTATCAAAATTCTCCGTATTGAATGTTATCAAAGCGTTAAACAAATTGTAATAATTTAACAGATAATGATTCAAGAAAATTCAAAAATTGATAAAATCGTGTTTTGTTTTGGAAGATCTTTTGTTAGTTCAGAAGGAAGTTGACACATAAAACCATTTTCTCACACCAATAAATTATTACAAAGAAATAAGGCGATGATTGTGATAAACGCTATTCAAATTATTCAATGGAAAATAGTTATTCAACCTTATTCATTAATTCACGCTTATTCAAAATCATTCATTGAATAACAGCGTCACAATCATATCTGCATAATCTGAAGAAAGAGGTCCGATTGCCTCACAACACTATTTCATCTTTCTTATTGTTTGTATTCATTATATTCCTGATGACGATGTGAGAACCACATTGAAATGTTGAATATTAATAAATACTCTTGAAGCATATGTCCATAGGATTTTCTTATTTTACCATATCATTTCGACGTCTGTCACAATAAAGTAGAACCTAGTTATAAGTTTTCAAGATTCACTAGCTGTTATATTTGAATCCGCTTCAATCCGTTTTCCTTTTGATAACAGTAACACTGATGGGTTAGCTGGACCAGGATTTCGATCTGTTAGGGTAAAAACAAATCCAGATTAGTCAATGTTAGCCTGATGGTTTCTCAATCTCGCAAACTTCCTTTTTGATTGAGAATTCTTCCTGAAAGTCAAACTATTAGGATTTGATCCGTATTTTATTCGACTTCGATCCGGTTTTCTCTTGTTCTGCTGAATTTTATGAATTCCTCGAAGTCCTCGAAACGTCCCTCGTAAAAAAACACTAGGCCCTATCAAAATCTGATCGCATACAAGATACTTGCGATATTAATCCGCTTTAATCCGTTTAGCAAGTAATTTTTTTTCCGGAAAATCTGTCCTTACTGTAAGCTTGTCTCAGCTGAAAACCAAACACTTGATCCAATTTCTGTTACTGATCCGTTTCAATTGGGTTTAACCCTCTCAATGTCTGATCTGGTTTCAATAATTTAATCCGTTTTATCCGATCCAAAATATTACGTAAAATCCAAACTACCAAGTTGTCCCGTGCACTCAAAATTTACAGTCAGTGTTTACTGACAAATTGTGCATTAGGCCTACATTTATAATCTACCAATTCACTTCTCACATTTGAAATTTTTTGAGCGATATCCGGTTTTTCATTCCATTAAACTATAGAATAAGTTAAAAAGAAATGTTTCACGTGCAATAGTTACTATAGTGATGTTTTATATTCTAACTTAGTATTATAGTACGAATAAATATCACGTGACTAATAGTGGATAATAGGGTTTTTCTGTTTCTTAATAGAAAGTTTCATATATCATCAAATTAAATGGTGCATGAGAAGCTAAAAACGATCTAGAGGATAATAGGTTTTTTCTGTGGGCTACAGATAATTTTAAAAGAAAAGATACACTGAATATTGTTAATTTTAAATAGCGCATACCAAAAGCTGTGATGGATTTAGATTTGAAAACTCGGTCAAAGATGGTAATGTTCTTAAAAGTGAAAGCATCGTTTGTTTAGTAAAACACCAAGAGATGCCTATTCGCTGTAGATTGGCGCTTTGTAGATTAAGGCTTGGTTTTTACGATTTTACACGCCCGTAGCCAGACTTGATTGTATTTAGCCAATTTAAATCCTAAATTGATTAACATTCGAATTATTACCAATAAATTAGATACCGTATATTTGCGTGTATAATGCACAGTTTTATAACTTATACAGGGCTTGCCAAACTGGTCATGCGATTGATGGACAAGGGGCAATTATTTAGCCTAGATTGAGAAAATGAAATTATTTTTCAGAAAATATAAAGATTTATAGTGTGAAAACAATTCTTCTGACCACTATGAATCATTGATAACCTGACATCACTTTCTTTTTGTCTGTATAAGGTCCAAGGGCCAAAGTGAAGCAGTAATCTTTCTATCTCTCCATGGTGGGACTGGGGTAACTTGAGAATGGGTGGTTGTGGTTTCCCTCCCCCCTTCCCAGTCTATACTTATAGAAGTTACCACGAAAAGTATAAATAATCCATGTTAAATCATACTTAATTTAAACACGATACATTTATAATTTATTACTTAATAGTGGTAATAGATTGTACAAATACACTCCAAATTACAAATACACTGTTTGAAATGTTGAGCCACAATCCCTTCTGAACTGGTAGATGCCATTCTGCACATTGGTTTGTCCACAAAGATAATAATGTTTAATGTTTAATGTTTATTTAAGTTTTTCAACTTGACATCTCTATTTAAAAAGATACGTATAAGTTATCAAATCAGCCTCCCTTTCAGAGAGTCCACTAAGGTAATAATCCTAATTTGGTATTTGGATTTTTCAAATACAGATTTAATTTATTTCACAAAAAAGCCACTTCTTCAGATTTCTGCGTCTTTCCGTGGTTCTGTTGCAGGAATCGTATCAGGTGAAGGTAAATCACCTTCCCAACCAATCGTTTCTATGGTATTTTTTTCACCAAATGGAGGTGGACCAATTAGTTTCTTGATTTCTTCGTAATTTAAAACTTCTTTTTCTAATAATACACCAGATAGCTGGAAAAATAATAAAATGGAGTGTTCAAGCATGGTGGGCTATATCGTGTCTATTTTTTGGAATTCTGTGTTCCTTGTCACAAAACATCAATGTGGCAAAAGGATGTAAGGATTAAAATCTATCAATTGTATTGTAAGATACTGTTTAATATCTTTGATCTCTTCTACATATATTGTATATTTGCTTGTATAATGCACAGTTTTATTTTGCCCTAAAAAGGCTTGCCACAGGAGGGTGCAGGTCTGTTATCGTCAGGATGTCCGTGACTTTTCAAATATTAAAAAAAAAGCAATATGAGATACTAAGACTGTACCTTATGTAATTTATCTTTATTGGCTTCAAGTAATTCCACTGTTTTAGAGAAAGCGTGAGCTATCATGGCACGTGCCTCCTATAAAAAAAAATAATAATAATTAGCAAAAAATATTTCCCATAACCTCAGAAAATGCAGTCATTATGTTCAGTGGGTTGGTCTGCAAAGTCCAGTACACCAACAATCAAATAATATAACTGTTGAAACCAGGCCAGGTATTCTCAAAACAATCATAGCAATAGGTTATCCTAGAAACAGAGTTTAAAATTAAGACCTTAGGACATCCAAGCACTAAGATCGACCAGGTTCTTCCAATTGCTGACATTAAAAGCCCAATTGATCTCAGATCCTGTCAGTTTCAAGGTCAACCTCAGTTCTCCTATCCATTACCTCATCCATGGTGGCTGCTAATTTTTTACTGTAGGGTTTTCCACCAGTTATAGAACCCTCGGCTTCAGCAGGGAATGCTATAGGTCCAATGTTCTCATTCATTCCGTAAGATCTGATCTGTTCAAATGCCAACTTCGTCACTCTATCAAGGTCATCTCGGGCTCCTAAAAATCACAAGGTTAATAATTCAAATAATCATGACAAATAGCGTATGTTTTATATCAGGTGTTATACATGGGAACCAAATACCATTTTATTATGCATGTCTAAATTGATGAGGTACAGTGTCTGGTGTATTATAAGATGCAGGATTATTGATAAGTTTTTGGTAAAAAAAATAGAAGAACCAGATACATGCTCAGGTCTGCACAGGTCCAGATAGGATGTGGACTGGCATCTTCATCTTTTTGCATTGAAAATCTTACTCCAAATCTCTTCCAAGCATTCAGATGCTGGCCCATTTATTGCCCCTCCTTACATTTAAAATAGGGTAAGAATTGGATGTGAGCCCCCCTTGATAATTGTGGTCACTACTCAATTAATTACAGAAACCACTGTTGAAGCTTGTATAAGACAGTAATCAAATGATATTGATATAACACCTACCAGTAGTAGTCTGATTAAATATTATAACTTCTGCAGCTCGACCTCCTAGTGCCATACACATTCTTTCAAATAACTACAAATAAAACAACAACTAAATATATTGATATAATCAAACTCCACCAATTTCATAGTTGTAAAATCATCATCATGAGAATCATATTTCACTCTCCAAGTAAAATTAAAAGAGAAAAAGGTACATGTTCTGTGCATATGGTTATCAAAATATTTGATTGATAGATGTATTAACGTGTATCATGGCATGTTGTATTATGATATCAGCAGTAAGGGGAAGATTTCAAGGTTTAAGGTTGTAGCATGTAGATTTCACTTCAGTTTTTATAACGTGTTTGAGTTTGGCGTTTTCACTTACCTCTTGTTTACTGTAGAGTTTTTTATCTTGGGGTAGAAACTGAGTAAAACCGAGGGCATTGTTAGTACGAGGCACGATAGATATCTGGAATAATCAAAATTTATGAATATGAAATGAAAAACTTACGTCCTAATGGTTGTGATTTAATTATAAGTTTATGACAAAAAAATGACAACAATTTATAATTTTTGTGGTAAAATGTAAAACTGAGAAAAAAATAAAGCAACTGTATGAACTCACTCTTAATAAAGCATCTGTATATTTCAACATCCAACCAACTAGAGCATGTCCTGATTCGTGGTACGCTACAACTTTCTTTTCTGACGGAGACAATAACCTTGACCTCTTCGCAGCACCTTAATTATAACATAAATTGGTTTGAAATTTGTATGATATATAGAAGTAGGAAGGTAACATTAAAAACACAAGATATATAGATATACTACTTCTAGGTTTATTATATACTACGTATAGGAACACATACAGGTTACATTAAAAACACAAGATATATAGATATACTACTTCTAGGTTTATTATATACTACGTTTAGAAACACATACAGGTAACATTAAAAACACAAGATATATAGATATACTACTTCTAGGTTTATTATATACTACGTTTAGAAACACATACAGGTAACATTAAAAACACAAGATATATAGATATACTACTTCTAGTTTTATTATATACTACGTTTAGAAACACATACAGGTTACATTATCAAGTTTCTTACTCCTTCAGCACACATGATTTTGTTCTTCATTTTGTCTCCAATGATCCAACTTGCTCATTTCATGTCCACTTGTTTGCTAGTAGACTTTAGCTTCTGGACTATAACTTGTAGAATTTCTCTTTATGAATTTAAATTCAGTTTATGGATGGTGAGTATAAGTATATACTAGTTTTTACTAGTTATAAAATAATAAATACCTGCTATAATTCTTTCTAAAGCATGTTGAAAGTCAACAGGTTCTATAATTGTTTTAGAATATCTGGCAGCATGAATGGCAGCTTCATTACATACATTAGCTATATCAGCACCTATTATAATAAATATAACACAATGACATAATCTTAACTTAATTGTACTATGACGTCACTATTGCAAAAGCTGCTGCCTTTGTGATAGCTATGTCATTAAGCGTTAAGTTTTAGTGGAATTGCAGGAACCACAGACATCTGATTGAAAATTGGAAAGGTACAAATTGATGCTATCAGTGTCTCCGATACACATAAAAATGTAAGAAATCTCTTTACAATCTATTTAAGAATAATATCACTACTTGCCACTCATGCCAGGTGAAAGCTGAGCTAATTTAGGTGATAAACTCTCAGCTGACGTTGATGTTTTTAATTTCTTGGTGTACATCTCGAATATTTCCCTTCGTTCTATCATAGTAGGCAGATCTATTGTAATATGTCGGTCAAATCTTCCACGACGTAATAAAGCCTTGAAACAGAACAGTTATTATTTATAGTGAACAGGCCACGTATTCTCAAAACGATCTTAGTGCTAGGATTTCCTAAAATCAATGTTAGAAGATAAGAATCTAGTATATCCTAGAATCAATGTTAGAAGATAAGAACCTAGGATTTCCTAAAATCAATGTTAGAAGATAAGAACCTAGGATATCCTAGAATCAATGTTAGAAGATAAGAACCTAGGATATCCTAGAATCAATGTTAGAAGATAAGAACCTAGGATATCCTAGAATCAATGTTAGAAGATAAGAATCTAGGATATCCTAGAATCAATGTTAGAAGATAAGAACCTAGGATGTCTTAAAATCAATGTTAGAAGATAAGAACCTAGGATATCCTAGAATCAATGTTAGAAGATAAGAACCTAGGATATCCTAGAATCAATGTTAGAAGATAAGAATCTAGGATATCCTAGAATCAATGTTAGAAGATAAGAACCTAGGATGTCTTAAAATCAATGTTAGAAGATAAGAACCTAGGATATCCTAGAATCAATGTTAAAAGATAAGAATCTAGGACATCCTAGCGCGAAGATCGTTTCGAGAATACATGACCTGGAGTTTTATGTCCTACTTTTCTTCCCTGATTCAAACTAATTTTACATCCACTATCAACAGGAATACTGAGCTGTCAAACCAAAATATATAATAAACAATATAAGCTATGTGCACTCTCTGAAAGAGATACCAAGTTGACCAAGCTTAACCAAATAAACATTATTAGCTATGTGGACTCTCTGATGTTACAATAGATTAAATTGATCCTTAATTTCACTAACCAAGAGGGGGAAAGGGTACTCAGTAGACAAAACAAAATATCAACTAACCATTATTAGCTATGTGGACTCTCTGAAAATGATGTCAAGTTGACAAACCTAACAAACATATACACATTATCTATGCAGACTCTCTGAACAAGATGCAAGACTATCCCCCTTGACTTACATTATCTAAAACATCAGCTCTGTTAGTTGAGGCTAACATGATGACGCCTTTATTGGTCTCCATTCCGTCCATTTCTACCAGTAACTGATTCAACGTACTCTCCTCTTCTGAACTACTTGATGGTCTGAAATATATATTCATCAGATAAAGAAAGAAAATCTTACACATTGTTAAAGCAAACTCTAGCTCAAGCTATTCTACAAATCTTTCGAAATTTTCTGACATTCTATTATAAATATTCTGCAGAGGCTTGAACAAGGACCAGCTGATTAAAAAGAAATATAAAAGTTGGAAAGAGGTCAAATGAAATGGTAGATTGACATCCAACATTCTGCATATTTTGACTGATGGAGGACGCCCAATGCTATGCAGTGTACATTGAGGGAAAATTTTTCCAGGATAGCGACAATAGTCTACTAATAGGTAAGGTGAATTCAATTGAATTCAATTCTTTAGAGCATAAGACTTTTGGTGTCATGTGCATTATTCCAGTTCCAATCTCAAGGATCAGCTGGTAGACAAAATCCTGGAAATCCAAGTTGTTATCCTTGTCAAATATTGCCAGTTTCTCCTTGTATTCTCTTTCAGAAACCTTACCGGTAGCATAGCATAGAAGAAGGAAAAAAAGACAATGCAATGCTGTGTGCAATGAGGGAAATTTTATCATGGCAACACCATTTTCCCGCTTCTCTTTCCCAACTTTATAATTAACATGAAAAGAAGTAATAATAATAATAATAGTTACCCTCCGCCACGTTTTCGACCAATGGCATCAATTTCATCAAGATAAACAATACATGGTGCTTTCTTCTTAGCTTCTTTAAATAAATCTCGAACTCTTGCAGCTCCCACACCTTGAAGAAAATGGTACAATTTCAATAAGTCAGAAGCCAAAAACCAATGAGAGCCATCTTATAACAACATATATCAACCAAGTACTAACGATCCAAACCACAAAACAACATTCAAGCCTTCAGCACTGTATTTTTATACTTTAAAGTGGTTGTAAAGAGGTTTTGTTTTATTGTGTGCATCAGGAACACTCATTGCAGGAACCACAGACGTCTGGTTGAAAATTGGAATGATGTGAATTGATGCTATCAGTGTCTGCGATACACATAAAAACTTTAGAAAATCTTTTATAATCTCTTTAGGGTTAAACACTTAAGATTTAGTGGAGTTGCAAGATCCCCAGATTGTAAATTGGAATGGTGTAAATTGATGCTATCAGTATCCCTGATGAATTCTGAAAAGCTGGAACAGATTCTCATGAAAGAAATGACCTTCTTACCTCCTATCATTTCTACAAATTCTGACCCTGCCATGGCTAGAAAGGGTACACCTGCCTCCGAGGCCACTGCCCTGGCTAACAATGTCTTACCACACCCTGGTGGACCTAACAAGATGGCACCTCGTGGAATCTTAGCTCCCAATTCCTGAAATTAAACCAAACGATGACAATAACAAAAGTCTTATTAAATTCAATGTCTCATTTTCAGCACTTTACTTGGCTAATGAAATACATGATGCGTACTTGACACTTGATAAGTGTTCAAACAGGAAGGGACATAATTCTAGTTGTAGCATAGCATGTTTCAACTATTTGGAAATTTAATGAACGTTCTGTTCTGTATCTTATTGGGCTAGTGGATTAATGAAGTGAAAAAAGGGTATAATTCTGTTCGTTTTTCATAAAAAATCTTTGGCCTGAATCGTACATTTTTTAAACACCAATTCTGATATTTTCACAATAAAATTTGATTGTAACAATGAAATGACACGAACCTTGTATCTATCTGGGGTTTTTAGATAATCTACAAATTCTAACATTTCTTGTTTAGCCTCTCTTAGTCCAGCCACATCTTTAAATCTTATAGCTTTATCTTTATTCTGTTGAGACTGGACATCCACTCGAACAAACTTTGCACGCTGCATTCCACCCTGGTAAATAATTGAATAAGGTATGTATGCCAATAATTTTTTTCAGTTATATGATAGATAATCTGAAGAATATCTGTAGCCATTCATCGTTTCCCAATTGGTAACAGCGACCCACAAAAAGATGGTGGTTGTGGGTTCTTGGTTGGAGTTGTTTGATTGTTCCAGTAGATCCAGCATTAAATGGGTAAGAGTTATCCAGGAATGATTTATGTCAAGAATCAGCTGGTAGACAGGATCCTCAAACCTTATTCGTTGTATTTGTAAATGAAACATTGAATAAGTCATCTTTTTGCATGTATAGAGATCTCCTTTAATATAAATTGTTCAGGATGTTACTGTTTTATACCTTTGGGGACTAAATTTCATTAACTTTGACCTACCATCATATCTGTAGGCATCTTTTTCAGACTTCTCCCTAATAACATGAGCACCATGGCCAGAATTCCACACACTATTAACATCGCTCCTATAGATTCTGTAGCTCTGGAATCAAAATTAAAATTATGTTTTGTTTTGTAAATATAAACACACAAAAAGCATGCAAATATGTTCTATGAAACAATGTTATTATTGTGAATCTACCCATTGAAATCACAAGAAATGAACAAATCGGGCTAAACTGTAAAAAAGGTGAATCTTTTTAACTGGACGTTCAAGTTTGAACAGAGTAGCGAACACGTTCCATGTGTGCCGCAAAAATAGTCTGGATAGAATTCAAAATGCTGAAGAAAGAAATATTGAATGTAACATATCTGTTTCCGTGGCGTTCGATTGAGAAACATTCTGAAATGGAACAGACGCAACCTGTTCAGAACTCAACAATCGAGCGCCACACAGATGTTCTAGTAAAATGTCCCGATTTAATATTATATTTACCCTGGTCTCCAATACGATATAGACACCTGATCTTCCACCTTCACTCCAATATCTTGTTCAATCTTTCGAATTTTCTCTTCTAATCTGGTTGTATCAGCCACCTGGAGTCTCATATAGGGGTACAATACCTACAACAACAAAACTCACCTTTACAGCCCTATTGTTCTGTATCTAGTTCTGCTAAGGTTCTGTACCTTATTGAACTAATGAAGTGAATATAACAAAAAACAAAAGGGGTATATTATGGTATAACTCACTTCTTTAATAACAAAGTACATAACGTTTCAACACAATTTACAATATACTCCTTGGCTTTTTGTTATATCTACTCTCCACTTCTAAATGTCGTTCAGATCTTATAATGAAATGAAATCGAGTTTTATATCCAATTGGGCCATATTGGGCCAATAGAATGAAAGTTATCATTCAGTGTGCAATGAGGTAAATTTGGCAAGAACAAAGGTATCTTCAGGTTAGTGTATAAAAAGCTAATATTTACTGGTTTTCCTTGAAATATAGCACCTTGATGTAACTTGATTCTAACTGTATCGTTTCCAGGGACGATGTGGATTTGATCAACCTACAAAATAAATTATCATAGTTAGCAATATACTTGCGGTTGCTTAAAGTTACATTTAGGGGTGGAGATTACATTAAATAATGGAACACAGTTTCATTGTACAATATACAAATATAATACACCTGTTTCAGAGACATTTAGAGAGTAAAGATGTAACTTTGTACTAATGACAAAATTACGAAAGCACAGACACAGGATTTGAAGTTTCTTTGAATTGAAGAAACCAAATGTGTGTCAATAATTCATCCAAAAAATCATTTAGTAACGAAATGAAATAGAGTTTTACGTCCTACTTTTCTTCTCCAGTCAAGGCTAATGAAATGAAGAATTGGATTTGATTTATGGACATTACCTCCCCTTTAAGCATTAAATCTGACACGAACTCGTTCCAGGATAACGTCTTTTCTATTTGAGTATTAACCATCAAGCTAACGAACATGTATAAAACTGTGTACACCATTAAAAACGACAACAGCATCCTTCCTGAAATACACAACAATGGCGTTTATCACAGAAAAACAGACATTGAGCAAATCACACTTCTCTGAAACACGTTCAGTACATAAAAAATACTTGGGGCAGGTTAAATATAAAATGAATGGAGTTATACATCTTGTTGTTCTTCTCAAGTGTTGGCTGATGAAATGAAATGTAACGTAAATTCTTTTAGACATTTCTGTTATAACAAGCTCAATCTCTGAAGTAAACATACCTTATCGTGTCATGATCGGACCATCTAACCTCCCATTCTCTGACCCCTCACTCTCCTTATAATCAAATGAACATACCTTGTCTACTACGTCTCTCATCTTGGTTTTCATCATCCTGTTTCTTATCATCTTCGTCACGATTTCTCTCATCATTCTGACGTCTGCTTGATGTACTAAAACACCGACTTCCTGTTAAAAAATATGATTATAATTCTGGATTTATACGTACATTGTATACAAACAAATTCCTGTAATTATAATACTTTGTGTAAATTTCCAGAGTACAAAAATATTTTCATTATTAAATGCATACATAGGCTACTAATTTTACGTAAAAATGTTGAAAATGGAAGAATTTAATTTTAAAGGGCAATACCTGATCCCAACAAATTGGTTAATTCTCTACTGCCATAGAAACCAGAGCGTTGTAGAATCTTGCCAAGAGCCTGAACTTCTTCTCGGAAATGTTGAATCTCCTGAAGTAAAAATAATTTTGAGTCTGTACTTGCTGGCGTACAATCCAATCAAATTGCTGCATTCTGGAAACAAGACAGATGACCACTGCAGTCAAGGTATAAGTGTGAAGTTAACAATAGCTTGACATTGTGAAGATGGAAGACCAAAATGACAGTAATCTTAAGAATTTCGGTTGTGTCCCGCAAAAGATGGAGAATTTCATCAATCTACAATATCTCAAATCATCTTACCCTAGGTCTCAGTTTTAAACCTCTAACCCTCGAAATAGTTGTGAAGCTTTTTTGTAAGTTCTGGCAATTTTGACAATTTAATGATCCATTTTTTAATGAATTCACGACACAAGTTTGAATTATTCTGTTAGATAGTAACTTCTTCATTGTTGAAACATTCGACGACATCAACAAGTTTGCCATTTTATATGTCTTAAATACCGGTATGTTTTTCTTTTTCTACTGCTTCAGTTCTGAAAACATAAGAAAGATGAAAAAAGTCAAAAGATAACTTGTCAAGTTAGTAACACAACTTGACCAATATTAGTAAAATAATCTTTAAGTGGAATAGCCAATCAAACACAAATATGAATGTTAATAAATAATATGCAATGGATTGTGTCTTTCAAATCTCTTAATGGAATAAAAACGTTGTTAAAATAGGAGAAAGTACTGTTCTTAATACGGTGGTCTAAAATATCGTGTTAACCATCTACAATAACTCGTCTACAATATTGAGTTAACTCATCTATACAAATTATTGAAATAAACGACATGTAGACAGGTTGATTGGTATTCGTTTCAGTACCACAAGCTGTAAGTCTTCTGATAACTTGTACCGGTATCAGAAAGGCTGGATATTTATTCCCAACAAAGACAAGGACATCAACTAGTTGTGTAGCAAAGGGATGGACTTTAAAAACTTGTGCTTCATTGTCATTGCATACTGTGAGTAAGATGATGCAAAAATTGGATAAAACTGGGGTCAGCACTTTTTATATTTTCCAAAGATCTAAATGTTTCCCTACATTAAATTGATCAAGTAAAACCTAATAATTCAATATAATAAGCCAAGTCGTTAGACGTGATTCAATACTAACAATGGATTTCCTCACTTCGCTTCAAAATCGCCAATCATTGTAGAAATTACGTAAAAGTTCAAAACATTGCAGCCATCTTTAAACTGAAAGTAGAGGTACATTCTTTAAAGCTCTTTTGATCTCTGAATCTGAGTACATTTCTCCTGAATTTTGATGGAGATTTTTAACCCTTTTCTAACCTATTTTGAATTGTATGTTTTTCACAATGGAAAGGGCCTACGAAAAGATGTATACAAAACTTCCTTAAGACTTTAGGTTGTATTCAGAAATGAGCTCAAAGGAGTTTTCATTATTGCTTGAGAATTATAGTCCCGATTATACCAGTTCTATATTTTTAAGACTTGATCAACCAAGGCTACAAACATGGAGTCCAATGAAATTTCCGAGTGTCCAGTTTGCGGCGAATCCTTCGCAATGACGTCCATTGAACAACATGTCAATGAATGTCTAAATGCGGCGGACAACACGACTCAGCGATCAAGAAAAAGAAAATCTTCAGAACTGAGTTCAACAGCGTGGGGATGCCTCCGACCACAAACTAACCAAAACGAAACTGAAAGTAGTGAAACTGTCAACAAAAGACATAAAATCAATGTGGGGTCTGAAAATCCCAGATCGGACTCGCCAATCGTTATTGAAGAAGACAGTCGTAGTTCTGGATCTCCAGACATTTTGGTAACGGATTCAAGCAATGTGAATGACAAATCTTCATCAGAAGACCAAACGTCAACTTCAGATTCTAGGTCCAAATCTACCACCAACTCGAACACCAAACAAACTTCATTTTTTCAAAAAAAGAAATTGGAGATGAACGGGGACAAAATGCCTCAATCTAAAAGTCAGGGTATCGAAATTCTGAGTAGATCTAGTAACCCTAGCCCAGTTCAACAGGTTGAAAGTTCATCAAGCTCTTCTAGTTCCAACCTCAAGCAATCAACATTTAATCCATTTTTTCAAAAGAGATCCACGACTACGGACACCAAAAAAACATCATTTAAGCCATTAGCAGAGCAGATGCGACCGTCATCTCTGGAAAGATACGTGGGTCAGGAAAAAGCAGTGGGGAAGAAAAGTATGCTACATTCCTTGTTGCTAAGTGACCATATTCCATCCATGATATTGTGGGGTCCACCTGGTTGTGGAAAGGTAGACAGTTTTTATTTCAAATTGCTGTCAGCTGTAATCGAGCAAAGATTCTAAATGTAAATACGAATTGTCTGACTAAGAGAAGCAAACCTTCTCAATTTTATTAGGATTAGATAACAATTTTATCTGTTTTGTTTTCTCATTTATTTTTGTCTCCTTTGTAATCTAACAACTTTTCTACCCAAGTTTTGTTCCAATAACATTTTTATAATCAATCAAAGCATGTCATGTTGGACCTGTTTCTTGATCACAATGAAAAATTGCGGAGAGCAAAACTCAAAGAAGCTGTCATATTTGGATATATAACAGGCTGTGCATGTTAAAATTCCACCGTCCTGGCAAATGCACACATATTAGCCCACATGGTGAAGAAAAGTATGACACCATTCATTTCATTTCATTTGTGGCATTTTTCAGACAACACTGGCTAGAATAATAGCAGCTCAATGTAAAGAAAAGGGGAATTCTAAGTTTGTCCAGTTGTCAGCGACTACGTCTGGTGTTAACGATGTCAAGGAAGTTATTAAGGTAGCCAAAAATGATCAGAAAATGTTCCGGCGTAAAACTGTTATGTTTTTAGATGAAATTCACAGATTTAATAAAACACAACAGGTGACAGGATATATAAATAATTAATTGACATCTGATGTTAGGGATGCAAAGTTTTTCATCAGGACAACTGTGATTAACCCTTTAAACAATAGCTTGTCTTACTGGTCACATAATTTCTTGAAACTTAACCCCATCACTATTGGAGTGGCCATTACAAAGTTATGTCACATATGTTAAGGCTGTAGGCTTTTAGTCATAATTCCTGGGAGTTTGAATCTTGCTGAAATTAGGACAAATTGTTTATTCTAAAGTCAGTAAGTGGATAAGTGGATGGTTGTCTGCAGGAAACAAAAGTTAAAAACCTTTACAACTTTTTATGTAACCAGTGCGGCCAATTCTTTTTCGACAAATTGCGCTTCATTATTTCCAGGATTCTCTTCTTCCTCATGTTGAAGATGGTACGATAACATTAATAGGAGCTACCACAGAAAACCCTTCCTTTCAAGTCAACAGCGCCTTATTAAGTCGATGTAGAGTTATTGTTCTTGAGAAGTTGTCGACGGAAGCGTTGAAGACAATATTAATACGAGCCGTAGAGGAGTCGGGAGGGATGATATTTCAATCAGAAGATGAAATGGATAACAGTGAAAGGTGAGATTAGGAATTTGTTCCCCTTGATCTTGACTCTACAGCAATGAGAACTATGGGTACTAAGGCCATCATCAGGAAGATTTAACAGGAAAACAGTAAACACTAAAAGCTTGATTTGGACCAACTTCACATCTGAACTTATTTACAGAACCCTAATTAACGATTCTTAATGTAATTAATTCCAGTTGTGAACCAAGTGTTTGGGTAGCCGACCAAGCTCTAGAAGTGCTGGCAAACCTGTGTGATGGTGATGCTAGATCGGCTTTAAACAGTCTCCAGATGGCGTTACAGTCACAGATAGCTGAGTGTAATAACGGCACCAATGAAAATAAGGATGTTGCTATAGTAACTGTTGAACATGTTAAAACCAGTTTACAAAGATCGCATATCACATACGACAAAACAGGTGAAATTTTAAGTTTAAAAATATTCATAAATTTGATATAGCAGAAATATATCAGAAACGTGTCCAAAAAAATAGTCCCTATAAGCTTTCATGGATTATATTTGTCCATTAACAGCTAGGTTGATATCGAATTTCATTATCTAAGTCATGTGTTAAAATCACAAGATGATCTGCTGTCAATTGAGTCTATTAGAGATCTGTCGTCTGTTTCCAGGTGAAGAACACTATAACACAGTATCAGCGTTACAGAAATCAATACGAGGCAGTGATGATAGTGCTGCCCTCTATTGGTTGATGAGGATGTTAGAAGGGGGAGAAGACCCACTGTATATCGCTAGACGATTGGTTAGAACAGCTAGTGAAGATATTGGTAATAGTTTTCACTTGCTTAAACAAAACATTCAAAAAATACTTCTATAATGTTACAAATGCAAAACACATACATACGCACATCAAATATGGGACTGACCTTGATAAGGCAAGATTCAGTTAACCCAGCCTTGTACAGATAATTTGTTATATCTTCCAGGATTGGCTGATCCTCAAGCTTTAAACCAATCAGTAGCAGCGTTTCAGGCGTGTCATTTTCTTGGTATGCCTGAATGTGGGGTGAGTTGTAATATTGTTTTCTAAATCTTTTTGCTACCTCTACTTTTCCTGTCTAACAAGTTGTACATGTTCCAGATTCTTTGACTTTTCTAAGTCTGATGGAGAAAATTTGTTTTGAAATTTTATTTTTGTGCAATTACCCTTAATCTTGTGCCGTTTGCATGAGCTCTAGGTGTCTCAGTGTGTCAGACGCTTTCTCCTTGATCTAGGGATCACTCAACAATTGGTTATTGACACTATCCTGGCAAAATTTCCAACATGTTTCACTGCATAGCATCGCCCACATCAACATCCATTAACAAACTAAGTACCCAATAGTAAGATGTGTAATTCCACTTTACTTGCCCTTCTCAAGTACCAATGACTCAAAACATTGTACATTTTCAGGTTATTCTAGCCCAATGTGCAGTCTATCTAGCCAGAGCACCAAAGTCAGTTGAAATCACTGCAGCCTATTCTAAAGTCAAGAAATGTATTCAAGAACACGAAGGACCTTTACCTGGTGTTCCTCTTCATCTACGTAATGCTACCAGTAAACTTAATAAATCTCTAGGTTAGTAGGTAGTGAATGTAAATTGGAGTTACTTCCCTTTGTTCATGAACAGTTAGAGAGGGTTTAAGATCAAGTTTATAAAGGAGTAACACAGATGAAATTTAGAGTTGATATTTACAGTAATCTGATTGGATAATAAGACTAGAAATTAAATCAATTTTGATTATCGTCCAATCAGATGACAATAATTTATTCACCATCGTGGTTTTTCCTAAGGGCCCTTGAATACTGTTTTTGGATTATTATTTTTTGGATGAACAAATTGTCCACTATCTTGTCAATTTTGGTTTTGTAACTCTTATCATTTTGAAAAGGCAGGCTTGTCAAATTACAGTTGTATCTATACCACCAGCCTGTCAACCATTGCTGCATGTTTTAAAGAAATTTCCTCAATTTTCATGGTGCTGGTTTTTCATGGTGCTGTTTGAAAAATGTTGATGTTTTGATGGTTTTTGATGATTTATGTTGCAGGATATGGTAAAGGATATAAATATAACCCAGCGTTTAAAACACCTGTAAAACAAGACTACCTTCCAGAAGAGTTGATTGGTACAAATTTCTTTACCTAATACATGGATTGCTAACAAACACTGGATATTTTAACGTATTTGTGATATCATCGAGGAACAATTTATTTGGGGATATTTTGTGACAATGTTAATTGTGGACAAAATTCCAGTAAAACAAGATAATGCAGATTCTCCATATCTCTCTAGGGATCTATTTCCAAATCATTCATTGGAATCAATTGTGTGGCAGCAGAACAAGACTACCTTCGCAGAGTTACGATACCTCAGCAGCATTATTATGGTAGCATTATGTTTGTATGCAAGCCAATTCATTGGTTGTTATTTTGGGCTAAACGCTTGTATATTTATATTTTTTCTAAGTCAAGAAACCTCAATAAGAAACTATTTGTAAATTATTCGTTAGATTGAATTTTTGTGGCAGCGTTATCTGAATATACATCTCATTCATTGCCCAGATTTTCTGACTAAACTATCTTTCAAAGACCAACAAGGAACTAATTGCAACTCGTCAACGTTGAAATGTGATATTACATTGATGCATATTGTATATTTAGATAGAGACCTTCATCATTTCCCCATCAATTATATTACAGTGAACATTGATAGTGACAATCTGTCAGATTATGGAGAGAGTCTTAGTGTTAATAACTGACTCGGGATATATATATCTAAAAAACACTGTTGAATTGTTGATCGTAATAATCAGAAGTCATTTCACAGAGTTTAATGCGCTTCTCAGTATCATGTATCATAGCAACTGTCACTGACAATTGCTTGAGTGTCATAAACATACATATTGATCAGTACAACTGTCCTTGCTAATAGAAGTTTTAATAATGCAATAATATACCTATCTACGTGTATATCTGTTTCTCATGCAAAAACAAACAACATTGTGACAATGGTTGATTATCAGAAGCACACATGTGGAAGTTCCATATTGCTTATATACATGTCCTTATCTGTTTTTCATCTAAAAACTCTACATCAATGGGTTGATTATCAGAAACATTCATGTGGAAGTGCCAAATTGAATAATAAAAGTGAACGATTCTGGTAACTAGGTGAGGCTCCAAGTTTCTTTTGATTAATGTTATGACTGGCTGTTGAATTTAAAAAAAATGAGCCGGAGAGTGAAAAAAAACATGTAAAAAATAAACCAGAGTTTGATGAACAAAAGAGCACAGCGACCTTGTTACAAGCTGTGATAAAAAAGATGTACTCAGTAACATTAGGTAATAAAGTTTGATTAATCTATGACATGCAGAGAAAGTAAAAATGAATTTAAAGTGGAGCTGTTGAGTGAACTTATATTTTATTCTGAACAATGGGACATTAAGCCGTTTCCAGCTGTAGTCAAAAATATAGAGAATACTTGATTAGCTATTTATAATATTATATATCAGTCAGTTAGAATATTGTGTTTTTACATGACAAAGTTATGTTTAGTAACATCTATCAAATGGTCGATGTGGGTTCTAATCTTGATCAGCACTCTGATCGAAACTCTGACAACCTTGAGTTAGTCATCTTCACTCATAATTCCAGTTGACCCAGCTGTGAGTGGGTACGGATAATTTGAGAAAAGATCAATGCTGAGAGGTTTGATCAAGGAACAGCTGGTAGAAAGAATCCTTGTGAATCTAAGTTGTTATCCATGTAAAATCAATCCCAGATTTTGCTCAGGACATGAAATCCATGAAGTGTACGGTTCTTTATTTTTTTTTTTGAAAGACATTCAGCTGCTTATGCCCAAAATATCGAGATACCATGATTAGTTATGTTGATTATCTAAAAAGAATGACTCACCCAGTCTCATGTAGCATCAGGTGTTTTAGAAGATTAAGCATGCTGTGCTATGTTATTTTGAATTGTAGGGCATTTAACTTGTGTTCCTTTCTTCTGTATGAAAAATATCAAGATAGTTTATTAGCTATATATGTTATTATTCGAACAGATACATCGTTGTGGTACATCTTTAATATTAATCTTTAAATCCTCTAGGTAGACTTCCTCATGTTCTTACTTACTTGAGCTTCAATATTTCACATTTTCCTTAAAAAGGTGAATTACTTGTCCAGATTTCTTTTCAAAAGTAAATTGGCATCTTGTTTATTGATCCATTAAGATGATAAAATTGTGACTCAAGTGTTTAAAATGCCCATCAAGGTTGCTTTGTTCAGGGTTTTTCTTCCGAATAGTGAGTGTAGAAGACAAAAGGAAGAAAGACAAAAGAAGTTTTGATCTGTACTTGATCTCAACCTGTCTCTTTAAGGAAGCAGGTGAAAATTTAATGATTTTACTGTCTGTGGGGTGTGAATCAGGCACTATTTTTAACTCTGTGTATTATTAATTAATTATAAGTAGAGACTCCCTACTAACAGTGTAATGTTCAGGGCCACGTAAAATCTTACGATCAATTTTCTCATTAGTATGGTATTTCTCCAAGTCGAATCTAACATTTACAAAAAATTCTATTTGTAAGATTTTTTTAGAACGGGGACCAGTTTCTTCAACATGTTTCTACTGTGTTTCACTTTAGCAGCTAAAACTTGTTCACATGATTTTCATTCTGACCAATCAACATGCTTTTTACAGTGTGTTTTGTTGAATTTAGCACATACAATCCGTAGCCCAATAACTCATGAGTAATAATGTATAATGAGCATCCCCTCTTACAGGAAATGATTCTTCTGGTTACTTAAAATTCATCGTCTCATATCTAGCTATTTGGATAAAGTCACCCACTGTCACATCAATTTATAATATCATAAAGATGTTTGATTTAAATGACAAAGGATTCATTCCCTTTGAAAAATATCAGAATGAATCTTTCACTTTTTTTCTGTGGGTGGCGGAAAATATAAAAAAAAGTTGTCTGAGGACTCTTTGAGTTACAACATAATTCTTTAGGTTCTGATTTATTATTTCAATTTTCTAAGAACCACAACATCCAGATTGGCATTTCAATCAGATTTAATACAAAAATCAATGTACTTTTAAAATGATAGAGCGTCTGCTACTGTTATATTTTCTATCTATTATTCATGTAGTTCTGCTCTAAACTTACTCTAAGATCGGAAATTAATTGTCTAGATGTTTCACAATATTTCATTTGTTCAATAGTACAAAGTTTTGACCTCAATTTTGAGAAGATAGCATACTTTAATTATCTATATACAAAATCCTTTACAAGCAAAACTATTCTGTTTATCAATAATATCATGACTAAATCGAGAGCAAAAATTGTATACTAGTGAACTCTTCAAACTAGTTCACTTCTGACCACCACCTATACTTAAAGAAATTGTAAAGAGGTTTTCTAAACTTTGTATATGTAAATAGAAGCTATGAATGGCCCTGATACAATATTAAAAAGCTAGTTAACCATAATACAACTTTTTTCAAATTGACTGAAACATGCCATCCTTTGTCTGTCATATTGCATTAGATTTGCAAAGTTCAAAAAATTGTAACAGATAATTCAAAATGAAGGTTCAGTTCCTGATTCATTTTGACATTTTAAATACAGTTATTACAGAAAACTTTTGACATAAAAAAATTGACATGTCAGAAATATAACAGATGTCAAAAAGAAAAACTGATTAAGATTAAAAAATCAATAATGATGAGTCAGCAAGTAAAAAATAAATAAATTTCACCGAGATATTTCTACAACTTATTGTTTCTTAGTTACATCAGGCCTTAAGCTACAGGGGGGCAATCTGATAAAATGAATTTCTCCCCCTGAAAAAATTCTGACAACCGACCAATTTCAATACAGCAAGTAAACACCAGGCTGGTGATGATATTAAATGGGATTTTCATGGTCCACATTCCTGCTCCTTCATAGGTATAATGATGATGGGCCCTACAATGTCAAGTTCTGCCAGGACTAAGAAAGGATCTGTTAAGAGTGATATCAGCCCAGTAGTTCTCGCTCACTCTCTGGGACTGGATTTGTCCACAATGCACCATATTCAAAGTTATTTTTTTCCAATTCAACATTCATTTCAGAGAATCTACTTTGCTCATAACATTTCTTGGGCATTTCGCCTCGTCTATTCAGTATCTTCACATATTGTTACTTATATGATGTTTTGTCAAGTATTGCACCCTTTTCAGAGAGTCCACACAGCTAATAATGTGTATTTTTATATGAGACAGGTATGAGTCAGTCCAAAAAAAGTCAAATTAACTTTACTAAATAAAAAAATATATGTTGAAACCTACAGGGTTAATATTAGGGTGGAGTAGCAAACATTTCACATGTCAAACTTAAAATTAGCCTTAAAGGAAATGTGAAAAGGTTTTCTAAACTTTATTGTGTATCAGGGACACTGATAGCATTGATAAGTATTATTCCAAGTTTCAGATGAATTTCTGTGGTTCTTACAATTCCACTGAAATATCTAAGTGTTTGATGACATCTACTATAAAAGCTACTAATGATATCGAAGGGCCTTCTTGCTTGTGATGTCATAAAACGCTTAGTGGAATTGTAAGACCCTAAAAATTGACTGAAACTTGATAGTGAGTTTTATGGACAATGATTTCCCCAAATTTTTTACCCTAAACTATAACACGTAACCTTATACCATGAAACTACTATACTTGGAAATTCTACTGAACGAGTCGTGTCATATCAATAGGTAACTGATGGGGATATGAACAATTTTGGAATTTCCACTTTTAGTTTAGAAGTTTCTAGAAGCTTGAGAAGTTAACGCCCACTCCTACTATTTGACCTGACCTGCAGTAAAATAACATTGTAACACCTGCACCTATTATTTACCTTGATGGCTTAAAATAAACTCAGATACAATGTATTTACAATGATTAGTCTTCATGTGCTTTATCAGCTTCTCTGATTCATCCTATGTTACACATGTAACAAAAAAATGGCTTAAAGGGATTGTAAAGAGGTTTTCTAAATTGTTTATGTGTATCGGGGACACTATTAGCATCAATTTGTACCATTCCAATTTTCATTCAGACATCTGTGGTTCCTGCAATTTCACTAACACTAAGCATTTTATGACATCATTTACTGCGACGGGCCGTATATGAAATAAAGCATATTTGAATCACAGACGTCTAATTGAAAATGGAATGGTGCAAATTGATGCGATCAATGCCCCCGATACAAATCTCTACAATCCCTTTTATCATACCAAAGTTAGATGTTCAAGTGACAAAAATTTGCTGACTCATTCAAGATGGAACTCGATGTCAAAACCAAGTGAAATGAGAAGAAATGTTTCCACAAGCTACTAAGTATATACATGTATCAGAATTTATTAATAAGTTTATTCATCCTAAACTATTAATGTTAGAAACTATTAAACAGGTTAACATATATCACATTATTTATACATTTATTCATTCTAA